TGATGTACTTTATGAACGACGTACTTTATGAACGACGTACTTAATAAACGAACCATGCGTTGTGCAAAAAGTACATTCTGTTTAAAAAAAATCGAATTGTTATTACCTACCCAATTACAATATAATATTATGTAATTGGTACAATTTTTTTTAACTTGTTTTGTAACTCTATAACTCGTCTTAAAAGACTTTTAAATGTTATTGTAAATTGAATTTTCTGTTATTTCTAAAATCTTTATGTTATTTATTTATTGTATTATGGTTTTTAATCCGTTAATAAATATTTATTATTTTTATTAATTAAACAAGAATTAGCGCATTTTATTACAAAAGTATACTTAATTTATGTAGGCTACATGTATAAAAACGCAGGTTCTTTGCACGGGGTGATACAGGAATACAATAATTTACAAAATTATAAATATTAAAGAAAAATCGCTTACATTTACTAAAACATATAAAACAAGCCTTAGCAACATTGCTATAAAAAATTTTGATCTTGTGCACATTCTATGTCAAATAATTGATCTTAATGCGATTTTGGTCTCACTATGACATTTTAAAAAGAGGATATTCTGTGTAAGTAATATTTTTTGAATTTCTAGCTTTGGAACAAACACGATTCCTCATGTATGGTTATTTTATTTTCATTGCCATATTCTTTGCACCTAAATTCTTTAAATCGGCATGAATACGTTATTTACGCCTGGGACTTGGGACAATACTGTACTTTATTATAGAATGCAGACCTGAGAGCACAGATAAATCTGCGGTCTCATAACATTCATACAGACCGGACACTAATAGTTTTATTGTCTTTTAATCAATGTTATTTGGATTTAAATTAAATTTGTTATTTATTGTTTTCTTTTCGTCTGCAAGATGTTCCAATAACTCCATATCTACGGTAGATATAGAGTTGTGGGCGTTCCTGTAAGGGTCCATATTGGGGCCATCTTCATACTTTTTATTAACGATCTTCCAGCATATATAAAACAATTTATTGTCATGTATGCAGACGATACCTCTTTATTAATTTCTTTTAAATCCGAGAAAGACCTCAATCATTACCTTGACTTAGTTTGAAATCATCTATTAACATGGTTTAACGCAGTATTTTCCTGAATGTCTCTAAAACAACTTATATGCGATTTTATACTGCTCATAATAGAAACCTTAGCTCTGTTAATGTCTCTATCAATAATACCAGCCTGGAACAGACTGATTGCGTCTCATTTCTAGGTGTTTCCGTAGACAACACTCTTACATGGAAAACACACTCTCAAAAATTAATTAAACACTAAGTTCAATATGTTATCAAGTAAAATGCCTAAAACGTACCCTAACCATTCCACAACTAGTGATGTTTTACCACGCCCACATCCAATCTAGACTTGCTTATATCATACTCCTGTGGAGTCATCACATTTTAAAGATGTATTTCTTATTTAAAAACGCATTGTCCGCAGTATGGCGGGAGTAAAGTACAAATACCCATGTACCGAACTTTTTCAAACATATAAAATTTTAACACTACATTGTGTTGGAGCTTCTTACGTATGTTGACGGGCACAAGTCTGAATATAGCAGCAACAACCTACTTCATAATCACCACACAAAAATTAAAAATAATATTCATATACCATCTCGTAGGCTTCAACTCACTTATGACAAATCTCCCTTTATCAGAGGGGCCAAACTTTTTAATATGCTTCCCAAAGCAGTAAAAAATATTAAAAACTTGCGCTTATTTAGAAAAAATATTGTACCATGTCTTATTGGAAAATTCTACTATAACATAATGATATAAAATAATGATTTTAAATGGATGACACCATCTGGGGAAAGTAGCTTGTCTGGAATATATGTTTGCTATTAATTAATAATAATAATTAAGTTTTATTTAATTTTAGTTTTACTTAATTTATTATTGTGTTAACTGTTATACTTTATCTACCTAACATAGATGGATTTCTATTTTTCTAATTTGACATGTTCTATGGTTCCAAGAATAAAAAATACATTTAAATTAAATTAAAATTAAATTTTAAAATGTATTGGATAGATAATCTACCACAGTTGCATTGGGATATTTAATCAGGTTTGATTCATTTTAAATACTGTTTAACTTAGTGATGGTGCCTGCGGCGCAGAAGTGAAGTTAAATTATATAATGAAAGAATATTCATCCGATTTGTCACCCCAACAAAACAAAAACTTAAATTAGAATATAATTTAAAGTTGGCGGAATTTTTAAGCAAAATATGGAATATTTCTCCTCCGCGTGGGACAGATTGTCAAGCTAGGGTGGCAACACTGCGTGAAATAATGAAGCAGAAGAATAAGAGGGGGAGACCCCTAAAGTAAGGCTTGAAATCGCCACTTCGAAAATCGCTTGTCGCTGTACCAATAGCGATCAACTATTTTTAGCGGCGACAAACAGACCTTTGTCTCTGGCGACAAATATCCTAACCAAAAAATAATATTGAAATTCAATTTTCACTGTTTGAGTTTTTTGCATGAATTGCTGACTGTCAGGCAATAGTAAAAGAAAGTTTTAAATTAATTTAAGGAATAAAAAAAAGTTAAACATTAAAAAAAAATTATTGAGTAGGTATAATGCAACAATTCGCTCGAGCGAATATGAGTTTTACTCATATTTTTCAATTTATTAAGTCTTATATTGTTTAATCATTTTACACATAAAATACACGTTTTATATTATTAAAATTAGAAGTATTTTACAGTAATTATTCGACTTCAAAAATGTGGGGCGATAAGTTGCCGCATCTGGCAACCCTGCTAACGAATCAAATTCAGCAGCATACGTATTTGTGAATTCGAGCGATTTAGATTAAAAAAGTTTAACTTTGTCGAACTTTTTACTGACGTAGGTCGATCACGCGTCCGGATTTTTCGCTTAAAACCAGCGACGAGCGACGCATGAAATTTAACCTTTAGATTTTAAAATACTGAATTTGGTACGATTTTTACCACTCTGCTGGATTGTTGCAAATCAAGGTCACACTTAATCTATCTTATCTAAAACCGAATAGGCGTTATTGCAAAAAAATAAAATTAAAAAACTAACCTATCCTAATGTTTAGTTTCTGAAACTCTAAAAGAGTTTTGGAAGCTTTACCAGATTTGTTATAGATTTCTGCCAATATCAAGCAAGATGCGAATGGTCCATATACAATGATATATATATATATAGTAGGGTGTTCCTTATTTAGGGGTTGGAAAAAATTAACAGGGGCGCCCCCCAAATCGGTTCCATATCATAAAAAACCTGCAAAATTTTAGATCAATCGGTCAAAGGCCACGTGCCCCACAGGGGTTTTTTGAGAAAATTCGAAGGCTGATATAACTTTGAAACGGTCTATTGTAGAAAAAAAAGTGTTTATAAATTTGGTGGGTTTATTTATGATAAACAGCTTTCCTAATAACAGTTCTGCGAAAAAAAAAAATTTGGGCTCGTAAAGCGAGAAAATGCTTTTTGGGCACTTTAGCGCCACCTACTTTTTGAATTTTCTGTCCAAGAGCATTGACCCAATGACATAAATTGTAGGGGAAAATGCGCTCTAAATTTTTTGTTTACAAATTTAAAAAAAAATTAAATCTAAAACTTTTTGAGTTCTTCCAAAAACACTTCGTGTTTTGAAAGCGTTGTATAGCTTTTTGAATCCGAACATTTTTTTTAACGCAGCACGATAAAAGTTGATTGTCTTGAAAAAAATTACAAAATTCATTTTAACTTTTTTTCCTACAATAAACCGTTTCGGAGTTATAGCACGACGTGTTTTTGGTGAAAACTCAAAAGGTTTTGGATTTAATTTTTTTCAAAATCGGGTTTAAGAGCAAATTTTTTTCAACAAAAACTTTAGGGCACATTGTCCCCTACAATTTATGTCATTGGGTCGATGCTCTGGGACAGAAATTTATAAAAGTAGGTGGCGCTAAAGTGCCCAAAAAAGCATTTTATCGCTTTTTGAGACCAATAATTTTTTTTAAACGCAGAACTGTATTTGGGAAATTTGTTTATCATAAATTAACCCACAAAATTTACATTTTTTTCCTACGATAGACCGTTTAGTTATAGCTATTTAAGTAAAATATTTAGGGAAAACTTTACTAGACAGATAATCCAAAACTTAACGTTTTTGGGCGATCTGGAATAGCTAAGTTTATTTTATGGCAAGTGATACCTTATTTAAAAGGTCTTGAGTATCACAAACATAATATTTTTTTAATATCACGATTTGCTTAAAATAAAGTTGTATTTTTAATGTGGTATTCTTTTTTCTTTAACTTTTTCATTGATTTAGCTTTCCTTACTGCTTTATTGTTTTAAAAACATGTTTCAATATTTTAAAAAAATAAAAGGTATAATTACACTGTACGTAAATTTTTAACTATTAAAATATCAGAGCTAAACGCTCGGACACGTAAACATAATTTTTGGTCATAGATTCCAAATCCGTGCTCGGTTTAGCTGTATCAGGTCTAAAAAAGTTTTTTCTATTGGCAATCTGATCCGGAGACACACTGTATACTGGTATATTATAATTTTTAAAATAATATATTTCATTCTTGTGCCAACATTCCCATGCTTTTTATTTTGTTTAAAATAATATCCTTAATTATGCTCAATAAAAAAAATCAACAAAAAAACATTTTGAATTTCCTAAATTATCTAAGAAAACCCTCAGTCACGTGTTCCTTTTGATCAATTTACTTCAAAATTTGAAACTGATGTGTGGGTGCAGCCCACAGACCACCAAATTGAATTTTTTTAAAATTTATACAGGGAGTTTCCAATATCTTTGAATTTTGACCTGACACAGTTAAACCAAGCACGGATTTGTAATCTACGACCAAAAATTAAGTTTACTTGTCCGAGTGTTTAGCTGTGATATTTTCACCTCCCTACAGTGTTATTTTTAATTTTTAAATAATAATAAATAATAAATATTCGATTAATATTTATTATCTTACAGACGTTGGATTTAATGATATTAGACATGGCCAATTTTACCATACAAGTAGCGAAGCCGGATATAATCGCTTGTAGTGTGGATTGGGAAAGAAAAAAATTTGCAGATTTTTTAGCAATTCAGACAGGTTAGTAGTAAAGCAATATACATATCTGCTGAAAAATTGTTAATTACTTATCAATAACTGGATTTATGTTTTTTAGATGGTTTGGAACAAACCCGAAAATGGCTGTTAAAATATGTTGACTTGAATCAAGAAGTTCCTAAAGATCCAGAATACGAAAACTTTATTAAACACGCTTATAAAAATGCTTTTTGGAAAGCTTGTACTGATTTAATTGACTGGGATGAAAGTATGCCTTTTCCAGAAGTAAGTAAAAATATGTATTTTATCCTTTACAAACAAAGACGACAAGTTTGGGAAAATATGGTTTTTTGCATTTATCTGGTCAATGTCCTTAAAAAATTTAGAGCATGTAATTTTCTACATTTTTATTTAATTTTTTTTCTCTGATTTACAATTTTTAAATTAATTTCTAGCGGTTTATTCTTTTTCAACTCTTCTTTTTTCTCCTTTTCGTGCCACCATAAAGGAAAAGAAATATTCGTCAACAATTATGCATTCTTTTTCAGAATCTTCCTCTTGTTTTACTTCATCTGGGGTTTGCAGAGAGATAAATTTTAGTTGGTTCATCGTATTCTTATTCCGAGTGAGGGGTAATGAAGTTGCACAAATCAAATCAAATCAAATCAAAAATGTTTATTTTAAAATTAATATCACAGACATATTTAATAATTACAACATATACAATTATAATATTTACAAAGACAAAGGTAGGATAAGTACAGTATTGTCCCTCGGTCTTTGGTATATCAGGTGCCCAGATTCGCCGGTACGGTTGGGCCGGCGTTTCATGGGTGCCTGGCTGGTGTTGGGCCCTTGTGGTATGTTGCATGTTCCTTTGATTTCCTGATTGCAGAGCTGGTCATTTCCTTCGCAATTAGCGATCCAGAGGCGTTTACTTGTTGTTTTTGTTATAGAGAAAATTAGCGGTGAGGGTATGTTATTATGTTTCAGTATTTATTTTTATGCACAAATGATCAAACATTTCAAACCTGCCTTCCCTGCATTTTTAACAATGACCTCCGTTGACGTATCACCAGAGTGACCAGATAAATGCGAAAAACCTTATTTTCCCAAAATATAAGTCACTTAACTAAATAACTTCTTTTCTAAAAAAGTTTTAAAAAGTAAAAATTTGAGTTTTGAAATTCCTACTTTCTCTTAAAAGGTCAGAATAGGAAGTTTGCGGATGTAAACTCCGAACGAAAGCGGATGAAAATTAGATCAGCTTATATTTGAGTTTAGGGTAGTTTTTTACGCTTTTTTCGTTTGTCTATTTCATCTGCTTATATCTGAAGCAATGTTTACAATATAGGTGAACAAAGTTTATTTCAATTCATCACAATAAAACAGTTGAGAAATAATTACAGATAATAGTTACAAATCACTTGTTGATTACATAAGGTGTAATAACTAAAGCAATTATAATTTTTCGCAACGCGTAGGCATGATGTGTTCGACAGTCGAACTCAAATAATAAATATGGTCGAACTTCGACCTGCTTTCATGCATGGCTATTGTGATTTATGGTACGTACATTATTGCCGGATGAATGACAAGTTCCTGACCATAAATTAGAAAATATCTGATCTTGCCCGCAAGAGTAAAAAAACGAGTTATATCTGTATTTTAAATTTACTAGCGCATGCGCCCTGTTTTAAAAATGAATTAAATTAATTTAATTTTTTTATATTAGTTAATACAAATGTAACTGGATATAATAAAAAAAATTATGCATATTTATTAAATATACAATATTATTTACTTAACATTTTTTTAGTTAGTATTTTGTTCGGAATTTGAAAAATACCCGTATTTTACCCGCAAACATAACGAAAATACCCGATTTTCGAGTAAAATACACGCAAACAGCAACACTGGGTACGTGCTGACCTAGACCTTTATAGAAAACGCGGGAAGATGCGATCACATGATGGTCAGCTGTGTTATTGTTTTTAGAACAATTGTTTGAAACAATGGCCAGATGCCAGATACATATATATAAATATAAAAAAAGCTATTAAAATAAAACGTACAGTGGCAAAATTTAAAGCGCATCGTATGTAAAAAATTATATTTGTTAAAATTATTTCACCTTAAATATGTTATTAATGTATTCAACAACTGAGACGTACCAACCTGTGTTATTGAGAAGAACTACAATAAACTTGGCTTATTACAACAAAGAAAAAATGGCAATAAATAGTTTTCTTTGTGTTTTATTTTACAATAACCAAATACAAACTCTCTAAATAAATCCGTATATTTATTTTTATCGCTATAAGCACCTATCATCTTTCTCATCTGCTAAAAGTCTTATTAAGTCTTATTAACTCTTCCAGAAGACTCCCAAATATTTCCAATAGTCTGACTTATTAAGACTTAAGCCTGATTTATACATTGCCTTCCTTTCTTCCTTCCTTCCTCCCGTAAAAGATAAACAATACGAAAACCGTTGTGATTTTTATAGTTCCCGTACGGGAATCTATAAACAGCACTACGGTTTTCGTATTGTTCATCTTTTACGGGAGGAAGGAAGGAAAGCAATCTATAAATCAGGCTTTATTTTGAGTTTTTCCTACTTAATAAGTCTTATTTTGACCTTTTCCCACTTAATAAGTCTTATTCAGATTTTTTAAGAGAGATTTTTACTAATGAAAACTTTTATAGAAACATTTCCACAAGGGTGGGATAATTGTTCAGTCCTTTTTTTTGTTGTGCACGCGTTTTGGCTCTCAATCATACATTTTTGTAATATCAACATTTTTCTGTCAATTAAAAAAATATTAAAATCCGAAAAAAAAATTGCTATGCTTTATTAGGAATGTTTCCCATATTATTTATTAGGAATGTTTCCCATATTAATTCTGTGTTTAATGGTTTTAATGAATTATCAAAGAAAAACAATATATTACATTCTGTTTAATTTTTAGACTTTTATGTTGGATCAAGAACGCCTTAAAGACTTGCAGACCAAAACCGAACGGCTTGTCATAATTGCCACTGTATTGTTGGTAACTTTAAGCAACACAGGCTCAGACCTGCACACAATTGCAAAGTTTAAAAACTCCCTGAAGGAACACATTTCTATTTTACTTCAAGCTTACCAGAATAAAAAGTAATTTATTCCTTATTGTAGTGAGCCTGCTTTTTTATTCAACTTGTTTTTAGCGATTTAAATGAGCTTCTAAAAAACGTGGCTGAGCAAGTGGTTAATGAAGTTAAAAAAGCTATAGTAGTTTATAAACTACCTGAAATGGGTGCTGCTACTGAAAGTTTACTAAAACAACAAATTCAAGATGTTGAAAGTTCTGAAAATAAAGTTAAAGCAATAGTCAGTAAGTAGACATTTTTTAAATTTAAGTTAAAAATTCCGTGTACACACTATTAAAATTTAAACAGATGAACTTCAAATTCTGTGACAAAAAATCTGTACACATCTGCACAATCTGTAAGATCGTTTAGTAAGGCAAGTGATACCTTATTTAAAAGGTCTTGAGTATCACAAACTTAATATTTTTTTAATATCACGATTTGCTTGTTTTTTAATTGTTTTAAAAACATGTTTCCATATTTTAAAAAAATTAAAGGTATAATTACACTATAGGTAAATTTTCAACTCTTAAAATATCACAGCTAAACGCTCGGACACGTAAACATAATTTTTGGTCATAGATTCCAAATCCGTGCTGGGTTTAGCTTTATCAGGTCTAAAAAAGTTTTTTTCTATTGGCAATCCGATCCGGAGACACACTGTATACTGATATATTATAATTTTTAAAATAATATATTTCATTCTTGTGCGAACATTCCCATGCTTATTTTGTTTAAAATAATATCCTCAATTTTGCTCAATTAAAAAACATTTTGAATTTCCTAAATTATCTAAGAAAAACCCTCAGGGACACGTGTTCCTTTTGATCAATTTACTTCAAATTTTGAAAGTCTTTGTTTTTTTTAAATTTGAAACTGATGTGTGGGTGCAGCCAAATTGAATTTTTTTAAATTTATACAGGGTGTTTCCAATATCTTTGAATTTTGACCAGATACAGCTAAACCAAGCTCGGATTTCTAATCTACGACCAAAAATTAAGTTTACGTGTCCGAGTGTTTAGCTGTGATACTAGTTTTATGGAAATTTAAGTTTTATTGCAAAAAAATATTTTTAATAATAATTTTAAAAATCTTCTATTTTACTTGCTTTGTACAATTATGTTGTAAAAAGTGTTTTTCTCATTCTGAAAAGCAATTTTATTTTAATTATATTTATTATATCAAGCTAATTTACAAAATTTAATTATTTTTATGGAAATTTAAGTTTTATTGCAAAAAATCACCTAAATAAGATTAGGTTATGTTATTTAAAAACTTAACAAATCCAATAATTTCTTTATCCCCTCCACTTTATTTCCGACTTAATTCAAACTGATTCCCCCGCACGGCATGTGCAGTATCTTTGAGGGTGGAGAAAAAATCTCACTTTATGGTAGTGATGGGTCGTGATTTTGATAACGTGATTTTGGAACGTTATTTTTAAATCACTTTCCGGAACGTTCCTAAATATATCGGAACAATGTGACAGCGGATCGATGGATATGTCTCCCACTGATGTTGCCAGAGCTATTAATTTAATCCAGGATGGACGGTCACGGTATTACGTGGCAAGTGTTTTAAACGTCATAAGAAGTAAAGTACAAAGGGCAACATCAGTCGGAGACATTTTTAAAAGTAAGAAGACACCTCAAAATTAACGCATTAATTTACAAAAAACAATTTGATAGCTTTTGAAAGCTGTATATGACATGTCCAAGTATGGGATGATTCAACAAAACTGTCACTGTCATTCTCCATAGGCTATGGATGGACCATAGCAACCTTAGTTCTTCATACAGAAAAAATATTGAAAATTGCAATGTTTTTTAAAAAAATCCATATTTTCCACAAAAATATATATATCGAGGTGAACCAAAAACAAAACTGTTAAGAATAGATGTGAATTGATAAATAAAACTTAATTTAGAACAATATACGGTTTTGCCACTCTACAGAGTGTCTTACACTTATGGTAAAAAACATATTTTTGTTTAAACCTGTATATTATAAACGTATGTCTATTTTTTAGTATTTTTTTAAAATGTGAGCGATTGTCCATTAATTTATCTACAATATTCTTTAATATTCGTTTAAATCCGACATCAAATAAAAAAGTTACTTGCGATTGAAATTCATCGAAAATTTGTGTGGATCGATTATTTTGCACGTGAGTGTACATTGTTTCGCTTCCATTTCTTACAATACAGGGGGTCCCGAAATTAGGGGGCCAAACTTAAACAGTGCATTCTTCATAGAAAAGTAACACTTTTTTGTTAAATAAACATGTATCAAAAAATGCCCCCTAACGGAGCTACGGCCCCCTGAATAGGAGCCTAAGAGAATAGTTTTTTTTAAACTATTCCTAGAGCGTTAAACATGAAGAAATGAAATTTTGGCACTTTTGTAATTTTTAGATGCTGAATCAAGATCTAAGATCAAAACTGTTAAAATTTAATCATAGGCGTAACATTTGGGGGGGGAAAGTTATAAAAATAGCCCCAACTTTTTTCCGAGATAATATTTTAATTTTTTTATGAAATTATGAAAACTAGTTTTTTACGAAAAATAGGTAGTCTTGATTTGAATCGCTCAGATGCACCAGTTTCGAGAAAAATGCATTTATAAATTACTCTTTGTGTTAAAATTTGGACAATCGCTCCATAATAAAAAATAACAAAAATCGAGCCAAAAAATATTAACTAAACTATAAAAATAAATGTAAAGTCAGCAAATAACCCAAACGTCACTTTTGTCCCAAAGCTTTTTAATGAAAATATTAGAAATTATGCTAAGCATAGTAAATTAAATTGCAATTTTCTCGAAAATGGTGCATCTGAGCGATTCAAAGCAAGAGTACCTATTTTTCGTGAAAAACTATACAAAGTTGGGGCTGTTTTTGTAAATTTGCCCCCTCAAATGTTACGCCTATGATTAAATTTTAACAGTTTTGATTATAGATCCAGATTCAGAATGTCAAAATTACCTAAGTCCCAAAAATTCAGGTCTTCATGTTCAACCCTCTAGGAATAGTTTTAAAAAAATGATGCTTTTAAGCTCCTATTTAATAATAATAATAATAATATTTATTTCCAAAAATGACAATTCACAAAATTGTATAGGAAAACGTCTAAAATATAATATGAAATACATAATATGTATTTTATATTATAGAATTGTAAACATTTACATATTGTTAAAAAACATATATCAGCATAACAGAATAAAATTGTAGTTATTGTTCAAAATATTCTTCAATAGAATAAAAACTTCTTTCTTTTAGATTCGAGGATACAGCATTTTTAAATTTACGAAAGTTAATTAATTTTATAATATTACTAGGTAACTTGTTATACAATTTTATCGCTGTTATTATTGGGCCTTTGTATACTTGCGTTAAATTGTGTGTGGGGACATAGAGTTTGTTTGTATTCCTTGTTTCGTATTTGTTTATATCACCGCACTTTTTGAACTCTTTAATATTAATACGGACATACACTATACATTCTAGTATATAAATACATGGGACGGTTAAAATTTGATTACATTTAAAATAAGTTTTACAATGACTATTATAGGGTAAGTTTAACATAGACCTTAAAATACGTTTTTGTGCTATGAAAATTCTATTACTAGAGGAGCTATTACCCCAACATTCCATAAGAAAGAATCGATTGGACACTTCCATAATAAAAGGTCTTTAATGTGGGTAAATTCGCCACTTCTCTTAATTATAGTTTTTTGAAGATAGTTTATTAGCAAGATCACTTATATGCAGCTCCCAAGAAAGATTTTCATCAAAAGTTAACCCCAAAAACGTAACATTCGAACTTTGGCGTAGTGCACCACCATTACATTTTACCCAGATACTGTAGTTTATTGAAGTTTGCTTGGGATGAAACATTAGTTGTGTTTTTTTAGGATTCAGAATAAGGCCATTTTTATTGCACCAAGAGTTCATTTTATTTACACATTTATTTGCCGAGCTACTCAGAGATTGTATGCTATCACCCGTTAACAAAACCCGATGTGTCATCAGCATACATTGTAATAAAAGCCTGATTTATATTACTTATAAGATCATTAATGTAAAAATAGTAGTGGTCCAAGTATACTTCCCTGAGAAACTCCGCTTGGTATGCTCAAACATTTTGATTTAAAAACATTTTTATCATAATTTATATGAACCTCCTGAACCCTATCTGATAGGTATGAATTTACCCAGAGACCAGCTTTTCCCCGAATACCATAGGAACTTAATTTATTTAGGAGTAACTTATGATTTACAGTATCAAACGCTTTTGTAAAATCAAAAAAGATTCCACAAGTTTTAAGTTTGTTATTGAATGAATTTAAAATGTTGTTGTATACCGAAATCATAGCTGTTTGTGTTGACTGTCCTCGGGTAAATCTATACTGCCTTTCAGTTATTAAATTGTACTTGTAGGTAAATGAAGTAACCCTATCATAAAAGGCCTTTTCAAAAATTTTTGAAAAGATACTCAAGAGGGAAACTGGTCTATAATTTAGCAAATTAGATTTGTTTTCTTTTTTAAAGATAGGTATTATTATGGCTTTTTTTGCTTGTCGAGGAAAATAGCCTTTTTCAAAGGATAAATTTATTAAAAAAGTTAAACAAGGGGCAATAATTTCTGCAATATGTTTTAAAATATTACAGGGTACTTCATCATGACCAGAAGATTTTTTATTTGTAGTTGATAAAATATTTTTTATTGTTTCCATGTAATTATATGGTTCTAAGAAAAGGCTATTTTGTATAAAAACGTCAGAAAAATTTTCATCTATTGATCCATTTCTCAAAGATTTTACCGAGTCTATAAAATAATTATTTTATAGATTATAATATAATTATAATTATTAAAAGAATTAGCAATATCCTCTTTATTTTGTAAGGGTCTATTTTGATATATTATTACTGTTTTTCAATTTATTGTCAAAAAAACTCTTTTTTTGTTTTTTAATTTTACTCTCATGATTTTTTTTAATTATTCTATATCTAGTTTTAAAGTTTACATCATTAGTATTTTTATAAATTTTAAAGAGTTCTCTTAAAAATTTGCCTTCATTTATTAAAGTTTGTGTAATCCACTGATTTCTTTTAACTTTTGTTTTTTTTATTTATTTTAACAACAGGAAATGAATAATTAAATATTTCATAGAAATTGTAAAAAAAATTGTCAAAGGACGATACATGATCCAGGGCATTATATACATTCCACCAATCCTC